TAATCTTGTCGGAGAACTATGCTTTAAAAACTCGATCTTAACAATAGAGGTTAAAATGGATTGGAGTAACAAGAGATACGAAGCAACATAAAATAAAACTACAATATAGAAATAAAAAATGGACAGGGTATTATGTTATCTAGTTTAGTCATGATGTCTTTTTCTTCATCCAAGGTGGTTTTTCAGATTCAGTGATATCCCACATCTGAGTGCTTTCAGTGCCCTTCCACTTGCTGTGGGTAGTCCAGTCTTCCAAGTACCCCATCTCCAAAGATTTCCAATAACCTACTGAGTACTCAATATTTCTGTATTGCACACAGGTCCCTAGCATTGTTTTTCCATACAAATGGCAAAGCCATGCCCCCTGGAAACACCATGTCTACTTGGCACTGCCTTAAGACTCAGCGTTCCATTCCCACAGCCAAGTATGTCAACATTGCCATTACTGACTGACCCTCTATTTGTTGATAAAAGTGGAAAAATGCTGTTGGCCATGGCCCCTGTCCTTCAGGGCACCATCACCCTGCTGCAGGTAGACCAAAAACTTGCCGATGTCACCAGTGTATCTGCCAGTAAGTAGATTACATGCCTAGCACAAGTGTCCCACAGTTAAGCAATTGTTACCCAGTCACGGGGGAGGTTTTTATAAAGTCGCTTCTTCATAGCAATTCCTACAAGGCAGAGAATTCTTTCTGCTCATACAGGTGAGGTCTCCCAGCAAAACTTCCTGGGTCCCTCAACTATAGCAATGTTTTAAATTTGTGCTTCATTTATGTATATGCATTTATACATCTTACCCTAAGAATACATTAAAATTTGGACTAAGCTGGATTCTAGGCCAGCCACCTTGCCATGACCAGCAGCAGCAGTTTTCACCCCCTCCCATTAATGCATAATGGTAAATTCCTTCCCAGAGCCACTGTTAACCTTTCCCGGAAATATAACCTTCATAGAGGACCTTCAAGGACAACCATACTTGTGTAGCCTGGAATCTCAGTGAGAAGTGGGATTCTAGCCTCATTTATTATAGGACTCTTTAGCTGTCATGTAACTGAACATATGCAAATAAATGTAAGAAGTCCACACAATGCACTCTATGATCAAAACTTGGGTTTGGCCCAGTTGAAACACAAATTGAAGAGTTATGGAGGGTAAGGAGCTAGAAGAAAAAAACATTCTATTTTTTTCATCATTTCTGTCCAAATCTAGCTCCTGTCTAAAACCACAAGGCTTGCAATAGAAGTTAGAAGTAACAACAGTCAACTGTTCAGTCAAAAGTGAACAACATACCTGAGACACACCACTGAAATAACAGAATATGTTTGTGCGTTAATTGACATGTAATGGACCAATGCAAAGAAAAATATTGAGGGTATTTCTAAGTATTGTAGGCTAATGAAGTGGAAAGGGCGATTCCATTAAAAAATGAAGTGAACTATAAAAGAAATAGCTTTGGGTAAAAGTTAAAATGTCAGTTTAACATCCTACATCTAGGACCTATGCTCAAAACTAAAAATAATATTGGTTGACTGGTCCAGGATATGTCCTAGGTAGATCCTTGACTTTTAAGGCCCCAAGGTATTTATAATTTTCAGCCAAGATTGAGAAGCACCTTCTTGAGGAAATCCCATCAAGAAGTTCATACCAGGTGATCTTAAGAGATACGGATTTAGGGAAATCCAAGCAGCAGACCCTCGTGGTGGGATGAAATTGTTGCAGAGACAGAGTAGAGGAGGAGCAGAAGAAAGAGGAGAGAAGTAAGAAGCAAATGCTGGGGAAATGCCCTTATCTAAGGGACAGCCAGGGCGAGAGGACAGCGAAGGAAACAGAACATGACTGAGGAGTGGAAAACCAGGACTAGACAAGAAGGTCATGGGTCCTAAAGGAGGAAGCTGTGTATCTGGAGGGAGTTGAGGGAGGGACTGGGCCACTGATTGATTGACTAATTTCTGGGAATTGAACTCAGGGCTTTAGATGTACTGGGCAAGTGCCTTACCCCTCATCTGTGTTCCCAGCCCTTGGACCACAGTTTTAAATTTCCATGGAAAGGCTGCCATCCAACAGCTCTCTTCATGGCTGATACTGTCCAGACAAACTATTTATCTAACATTCTTGCTTCTGTTTCTCTTTTGGTTTTTTTGTTTCATTTGGTTTGGTTTGGTCTTGTTTGTTTTTTTGAGACAGGGTCTCACTATGTAGTTGAGACTGACCTGGAACTCACTATGTAACCCAGGCTGGTCTTGAACTCACAGCAATCCTCCTCCCTCAACCTCCCAAGTGCTGGGATTACAGATGTGCACCACCATATAGAAGGCCGGCCTTCTATTTCTCTTTTGTACTAAAAAGATTTTCCTTACTATCACAAAATGCCCAAGGCAGGCTACTTTATTTTTTAAAAAGTATGTTAGCTTACAGTTCTGCAGGATTTGACTCCAAACAGCAGCACGAGCTTGGCAAAGCCCCCCTTGACCACAGCATGTCCTGGTGGGAGCCTGGTGTGTCTGTGTGTGTGGTCTCTCTCTAAGTCACCAGGACTCAAACATGGGGCTCTCACCTAATGACCTCATATAATTTCATCACTTCCCAAAGGCCCCATGTGTAAACCTCCTAGATTAAGCTTTCACTCTCTTTATACCATTAACACAAACCTTAGGGCATTAAATTTCTGTGTGAGTTGGCGGGGTGAGGGGGGATCCAAATTCTAGCAACTTCACAACTCTTATTTGATTTAGTCTACCAAGCTAGAAAAATGTGACATGAGGATTAACACTTCAAGAACTATGTTCCAAAAGCCCACAAGACTCTGTCTTCTACTTATCTCTAACCACAGACTTCCACTGTTTCTCTACTGATAAGACAGAGAAGATCTGAATTTCATAACAACCATTTTGGTGCTGTGAAATTTAACATGAGAAGCTTCTAGAAGATTAATTTTGGGCCAAAGTTTGCTGTGCACCCAGCCTGGCTCCCATAGATTCCCCTGGCAGCCAGCTAAAAAGGACATAGGTCACCTTCCCATGGCATGAATGGAGGGGCAGCATACTGGCCTCCTCAAAGTATTAATAAGGTGAGATTGGGCAGAAGGCCACTGGGTACATTTCCAAACTTCCAAGGCTGCAGTGGTCTTGGGGGATTGGCAGCTGGGAGCTGTCTTCAGTAACTTTTCTTCTGTCTCTCTGAAGTTGGCATTAGTGGTTCCTCATAAGATATAAGTAGAATTCCATAATATATATTCTTCTGTGACTGGCTTATTTTACTTAGCATAATATCTTCAAGGTTCATCCAAGTTGTAGCATGGACAGAATATCTCTTTTTTAATGTTTGTGCATATGCCGTATTTATGCATTCATGCCACAGTGGACACTGGGGTTGCTTCCACCTCTTGGCTAATGTCAACAAAGCTACCATGAACATGGATGTGCAAATATATCTTCGAGTCCCTGCTTTCGATCCTTGGGGTTCATACCCAGAAGTGGAATTGATGGATTGTGTGATGATTCTATTTGAAATTTTTGAGAACCTGCCATGCAGTTTTCCATAGTTTTTGCACCATTTTACATTTGCCAACACTGCATGAGGAGTTCAGTTTCTCCACATTCTCGCCAGCACTTATTATTTTCTGTGTTTTTAAAAACTGGAGCCATCTTAATGCATGTAAGTGAGATGGTATAGCACTGTGATTTTTCTTGCATTATCCAGTTACTAGTGATGTTAAATGTCTTCTGACTCATTTCTTGGCCATTTGTATATCTTATCTGTAGAATGGCCAGGCAGGTTCTTTGTTTTTAATTGAGTTGCTTAGGATTTTTGTTGTTGGTGTTGTTGAGTTAGACAAGTAATTTTTATACCCTGAATAACTCATTAGATATGTGCTTTACAAATATTTCCCTTCCCATTAATAGCCTTTGTTGTCTATTTGTTGCACAAAAGATGAGCTACTGTCAAAGATTATAATGTGCCAAGCACTGTTCTATGTAGCTTACATATAACACATGCATGCAGTCAGCACATGTGAACTCCCTTTTTACAACAGCTTTACAAGTTATATGCTGCTTAGGGCCCCACTTTATAACAGATCGAATGAAGTGCCGAGGGTAATGGAGCTAATAGGTGATCAAGCTAGGATTTGAATCATAAAAGCCTGTTTCTGTATTCTTGACCGATTATAAATGTAACTGGTGCAACATCTTTCCCATATTTAATGTGTAAGTTATTTCAGATTTTGGCATCTTCCAGTGCAGTTGGTTTCCAGAAAACTGCATTTTTAGGCTCCTCTCAGACATCACAGCTTCTCTCCTAGCACTTCTTTTCCTTCTCTTGGCTCACAGAAATGACTTACATCCTACTCCCATGTGAGCAAGATTTGAGCCTCCCTCAAAGTCTATCTATCCCTACTTACCACTCAATCGATGATTATATTCATGAGCTAGTATCAGGGCCAACGATGAAGCCCCAAGCATACTGTATGAGGACAGTGTTGGGCCACTGATGCTCCTGCTACTCCAGTGGGAATTGGAGAATGGATGGAAGACTGCTCCTTACTCTCAGGTATCAAAAATAAATAAATAAATAAATAAATAAATAAATAAATAAATAAATAAATAAATAGCCAACCTTACTTCTTTGACCAGGAGCCAACAAATGGATACCATCTAGTATCCAGCAGGTTCAATGTTGTAGCAAGCCATATACTTCAGGGAGAGGAATAATTCATTCACGTGCTCATGCACTGTCTGTGGCTAATGAAGAGTTGTGTGTCTTCCATGTGCTTTCACCAATGCTGGATTTTAATGCATTAAAGGAAAAGTTCCCACCCACCCCATGAAACAAGATGTCTTTTACTCAGCCAAGTAAATTTACCAGGGAAAAACTCATGTCAGTTGATTTTAGGAAATATTTTAGCTACTGACACTCATTTTGCATGGCTGCTTTTCACCTGGCTTGAAAATGGCTCAATGGCCTCTGCTGTCCTAATCACTGTGACTTCTTGTTTTCTGCAGGATCCTGTGGTTGCACTCGAAGACGGGCCAGTGGGTGTATCCCGTGTTGGCAAAACTCAGCCCCTTGGGTCTCACAGCCTTCTTCTTTCTCAGCTACTTCTTGATTGCCAGCATCTACCTGCTTGGAGAGAGGCTCAACCAGTGGAAATGGGGTCAGTGTGTTTCTCTCTGGTTCTGAGACACTCTTTTCTTACCCTTTTCCTACTGCTGCAAGGACCCAAAAGAAAAACTAGTCCAAACAGAAGGAAATGTATTCAATGCCTTTGTCCAAAGGGCTCTGATAGGTCTCACCAGAGTAGCAAAAGGAAAGCCTGAGCCAATGTGGTATTCAATCAAAAGAGTCCATCAAATTACCTCCCCTCCTCCCCAAAACAGCATCTCATTTAACTTGAAAACTAAATCTGGTTTAGAATGCTCAGGATCTAGGGAAAAAGGTACTGTTACCCCAACTAGTAAAAATGTGCTTTTGTAGCCTCCCTCCACACAGGTGAGAGCTTGCAAGACACAAGCTATTAAAATGTTATGGCTTTCATTTTGAAGGAAATGGATCCTGGTGATCTTCCTAGCTCTTCTGAGCTCCACAGTACATTCCCAGATGAGTTTTTAGCCCTCTTTCATTAGTTTCCTCCTCAACCTAAGTAAAGCCTTCACTGGATAAAATCACATGCTGTCCTTGGATTCTCATTTAGGCAGGGTCTTAGGACATGTCAGTGAGCTAAGCTTTCTAATTACAGGTGGGTTGAACCATGTTGCTTCTTTGTCAGAAAATAATTATGGTAATTTAGTTGACTTAAAAAGAGATGATTTTATTTTCCTCTCTGCTTCCCCCACTTCTCACCTCAACCCTCAAGTATCTTTTTGTGAGAAAAGTAACTCTAGATATCAGAAAGTCAGCTCGCAAAAATCCCATGAGTTGTTTTTTTTTTTTTCCCCTACACAGGAGATGTGCACGAATTGCACCCTGATTTGTGCGTAAGAAAGGCAAAGAGTCACCACACAGTCCACTGTTTCAAAGGGCTCAGTACCCCAGTGTGTGTTTCTGAGGAGAGGCAGAGACCCTGAAAAATAAGCCTGCAACCTGAATGTACTTTCTGCTGTTAGAGATGTTGGTAAAGAAAATTTCAAAGGCAATATCCTTCATGGAAGCAAACCCTTGAAGCATGAGACACTAAAAATCACTCTTGGAATTAAGATTTCAGATCAATGGAAATTAGCCAGGAAAAAAATATGTTAGCATTTTCTATGTGTTGACATCAAATTCTAACTATTTTTAATTCCTTAAAATTCTGGGCAAAGATTTCTGATGCTTTCCCTGAGTCTATATTGGAAAAAGAAAATCTATATAAGAAAGGAAGGAAGGAAAGGAAGGAGGGAGGGAGGAAAGAAGGTCGGAAATGAGGAGAAAAGAAATAAATTAATTCATATAGAATTTGGCAGCTATAAGCATAGGAAAAAACACAATTACTTAGAGTTTATAGAACAATAGCTTCTTAAATCAATTGTATTGAGTTCAATAAGAATTTATTTTTAAACTGCTACTCTACAGTGAAATTTAAATATCCACTGAATTAAAAAATTAAAATTTCACTATATTTTATTATACTTGAAATCGCTATTTTCAACACAAAATTCTTCTTAATAAGCCTCATTATTTAGGTACTATACCCAGTTTGTCACTATAATTGGGTCCAAATGAGTAAATAGGTCAGGGTCAACATATGGGCCTTTACTGACATTGTGCATAAGCAGAGGTTCATGTGAATGTTAGAAACTACTGTAAATGACTATGGATTTTTAGCCTCTTGAAAAAAGAATGGGTGAAAAGCTCTATATAGCATTAAAATAGGGTCACAAATGTGTTTTATCCTGAACAGATCTTTACTGATTGCAAGTAGTTAAATAGGAATTAGAAGGAAGCCTAAATACCTCAAAACTGCAGTGGCAGCGAATGTTTTTAAATTGCTGAGAATGAAACAGCACAACCTTTGCGAATACATATCCCTGTGTCACCTCCTGCTTACAAGACTTTTGGCCTCCTCCAGTTTATAGAAGAAAGGCCAAGCCCTTAGAATGACCCCGATTCTCTGTGACTGAGCCCTTGTCTTGATATTTGTTCGTTTTCTTCTAAATTTGTGCCCTTGCATCATCAGTGTGCTTATTTTCCCTCCATGTTGATGTTGCTTTTTACCCCCATCAACTTCTTATCTCCCAACCTTGCCTGCCTCACACTTACTTATTGGCTTTAACTCACCTCTTCCAGGGAGCTTTCCCTTGTTGGCCCAGGTTGGACTCCATGTCCTACCCAAGTACTCCTGGATACCACCCCCCTTATCACCAAGCATATCATTTTATCATCACGGCTTTTCCACCACTAATGAAGGGATTTGTTTTTACACAAATCTTGGCTTTCTCTTGGGTCAGGCTTGGGTATGTCTCGTTCACCTTCAAATCCCCATTTCTTCTGGTTTTCCCAATGTGCTAATCATGCCACTTCTCTCCAGGAATGAAGTGTGTCTTTTTTCAAGGATGTTCTGGAGACAGCAGACAAGGAGTAATAGGAGAAAGGTGATGATTCAGTATGCTTGTTGGAGAGCTGCTGAAGAAGTGATGCATGTTAGGGCAGACTGTATCAGAAGACCATTGAGATTGGAGTCAGGAAAGTTGCAATATGTCTCTCACCTGTTCCCAATCCAACCATGAGACCTATGGCAATGCACATATCTTTTCACCAGTGATAGGATTGCATATCAATAGTGTGACCGTTAATCCCAGTGTATCTAGGATGGTCCTGGTTTATGCTTGTTATACATTAGCCTTGCAGTTTAATATTGTTCAGGTTTGGGCAAACAATTGTCTGACTCTCTCCCCCTAAGTCCTTCTTCAGATTGCTGTGGAAGGAATTTGCATTTCCCATGATCAGTAGATATTCCCTTGTCTGGTGCTGCAGGACAAAGTGTGGGCATTGCTCACACACACTTGCCAGTCCCCACCTTGGGGCCTCTCTGTCCCAATTAAGGTTCTTCCAAGCTGAAGGAACACTGTCGAATCAGTGTTCTGTTTTGCTCATATTAGACATCAGCCACGTAATCACGGAAACAGGCCACGCACAAGCTCCGCACCTCAGAGAGGGATCTTTAAGTGTAACCACCCCCTCCCTTTGTCTTGGTGCGCAGATGAGGCTACTGATGGCTTTCGTAGCTTGTTCCACTCACTCTCCTAACTGAATCCCTTTCACATACACAGTCACACAAGAAGTTAACACATTCCCTCCCTGGGGTCTGTTACAAAGAACCAAAACAAAGGCAAAACAAGCTATGCATTGCCCAGGGAATCTCACCATTCAGACAGATGATTCAATTCATTCTTCTTCCTTCTGCTGTCTCTGTTCTGGGTTTAAGCAATCCGCTGATGGTGATCTGGCCTCCAAATCCTAGAAAGGGAACCCAGGAAATCCCGGGGGTGTGCCTCTTCCCTTCCAAGGAGGCGGACAGCTGCTCCCTCCTGCAGGACTCAGGTCAAGGCCCAACATGGGCCGTGTCACTTAGCCCTCTCCTTCCCAGCCAATGCACCAAGTGTTGTGGAAGGAATTGGCAAGTGACACACAGAGAGGCAGCAGAATGGAAGTAAAATAACAAATTTACTTATCAAAGAGGGTGGATCGCACATAAGCACATAAGTAGTACCTGCTATTGGCCCTCTTCAGTGAGTAAATTTGTTATTTTACTTCCACTCTGCTGCCTCTCTGTGTATCACTTGCCAATTCCTTCTGCAACAGGATCATTTGTTCTGGATTTGTGGAAACATGGGTCATCACCCAGTTTGTCCAAATCCAAGGCTAATCTCTTCTTTCTCTTGTTCTGAGAAAAGAAATTCAGAGGACAGCTTTAGTGAGGTGATGGGAGGCACTGGTTAGGAGAAAAGCTCTGGTGTCAAGTTGCCTGGGTTCCAACCTGCTGCCTGTAGACTGGAAGCTGGGAAAGGCACTCAGAGTTTCTGAGCTCCAGTTTTCTCTTGTCGTAGTGCAAACAATACTCATGCTCATTTCTAGGACCAAAGAGGTCCTTAGATGATTTTCTAAGTGTCAAGTGCCTGGAGAAGAGCCCTGGATACAGGACTAGTCAATGTTACTGTTCATCTTATTGGCCCCAGCAACACCCACCAGCTTTCTTCGCTGTGTGGGTATTTCCCTCTTCCTCTGTGTTTTTATGCATAAATTGGCCAGTTTCCCAACTGAAGGTGATCAAAAGTAGCTGCCAACTAATTAAATGCAAAAGGACAGAGATGGTTCATGCACTCCAGTTCTTAAAATGAAACAGGTCATGTTAATTGAGGCTAGAATTCATTGGACTCTCTGTTCCTGAAATCCTGAGACAGTGTGTGACCTGATTGACAGTCACCACATAAGTACCAAGTGGTCAAGAATACCAGGCAAAACATCCATCATAACCCATTAAATGTGGCCAGTGAATCTCTAACAGTTTGCAACCTTGGCTTTGTATCATAAAAACAGTAAAGGAGCTTTAGAAACATGAATTCCTAAGCCCACTCCAGACTAATTATATTCATATCCCTGGAGATGGAGATTTGACATGGGTGTTGTTTAAAGTTTCCAGTTTAGTTTAATTTGCAGCCAGGGTCAAAAGCCTCTGTTACAAAGCAGTGTCACTCAAACCTTGAATTTTGTTAAAATGAAGATCCCTACAAACGTCTGGATCTTTTTAGAATGCAGATTCTCATTCAGTAGATCTTGGGTGGTAGTTGGAAGTTCTGTCCTTCAAAAGCGTGTCTCAGAGATACTGACACAGCTGGTCAGAGAACAGTGCTCTGTACACCTCAGGACCCTGGGCTCCTTCCAGTGGAAATGGTTATATTCACAAGCATCCTCCTGCACTGTGGTGTTCTCCACATTAGCTGTGAGACAGAGAAGGATGTCAGTGGAGACAGCCACAGTTACTGAATGCCTGTTCACCTTCTCCCTCCTCATGCATAATGTCAGCGGGTGAATATGAAGAGAGCAGGAAGAACAGTGATAAAAGATGATTCCAGGAATTCATTAGAAACTTGCAGAGTATGTTATGAAGATCTCCCAGGGCACCCAGTTGCAGGAATGTGGCCCTGTGTGGCAAGGGAGGCAAATGCCTTCTGCATCAGGTCAGTTATTAGAATCAGCCACCCACCAAAAAGTATTCCACATCTATTTCTGGAGCAGAGGTAGGTGGAACACGGATTCAACATAATGAAGCAGATGAGGATGCAGTCTCTGGCAGATCACCAGGACTGACCATCTATATGTACAGGATGTTTCTTCTCCATCCTGATCAGGGAAAGAGGCTATCGGAATTCCACCAAAAGTCACCTTCTTTCAGCTTAAGCACTTAATTTTCTTTTCCTTTTCTTGATGATAGGACACAGGTTGCTTATACCAGGACGAGTCCCTCAAGAAGAAAAACCCAACCCATGAGAGAGATGACAGGCATTGGAAGGGAATAAGTGACCCCAGTGTTTTTACGGTGTGAGTGGCTAGAGAGGCAGTCGTCTTGCCCAGGGACCATGACGCCTCTCTCTACTTTCCTGAGACATATATACCAGGGATAAGACCACAGATCGTTTTCCTAAGGACAAGCTGAAAATTTCTCTCTGGCCAAGTGACTTTGTGATGGTACCTTGGACAGAATGACACTAAAATTTTCCTTTAATATTATTTGCCATAGATCATATATATATATTTTTTTTAAGATTTGAAGGTCATCTGGTCGAACTCTGGTTTTTTGGTCCATGAATGAATTAACTAAGGTCTCTCTGTCTTGGATATGTTTCCTGATATTTCATACTAAAATGATTTTATTGTGAAATGAATTCACAGGTATTCTAAAGCATGACTCCCCTACAGCAACATTTAGTAAATAACAAATTATAGTTCCTTTGTCCTTTTCTTGTCCTTTCTCTCCCTAAGCTAAAAGGAAGAGTTCTTGATTATTTTTCTTCCTCTTACCCAGGTGTTTCTTCAGCCAGACTGCAGCTTTCTTTCAATTTTGGTACTTGTATACTGTAGGCTTAATTAAGCTCATTGACCCTCAAACTCCATTCCTTGTTCACCTCAGATCCCCCTAAACCATCTGCCTTCTCACACTTTTCCAAGGTGGCCCACTGAAAATCAGCCAGTGGTCTTCCAACTTTTACTTCAAAGTCAAGCAGTAGCTTTTGTAATTGTAGATACATAGTTTTAAATGTTGGCAAATTCTCCATTTTTATTTATCCAGTATTCTAACTATTGTAGTAAATAAAGTATATAATTATATAAGTAGGTAAAATTCATAGTGATATTGATTAAAGCAATGATTTATTTGGCATGCTGGCAGATGAACATTAAGCATTTGGTCTAAAACCTCTGTGGCTCTTGGTACATCTGGCAGAGGATAAAGAGCTAAAATAAATCAGAGGTGGATCTAACTGGTTAGATGCCACCTTATACACTTTGCACTAGAAAAAACTCTCCTTAGTCTAGAAATGTTACAGCAAACAACATTCAGAGTTTGACATCCATTTTGAGCATTTGGTGTAGGTGAGATATATGATCTATTGCTAAGCCAACAGTTTATGGTCAGGGATAAATTATGAACACTCAAAGGAGCCAAGAAATTACTCAGATCTGTGAGAATTCAAAGCTAAGGACTCCACCTACTAGAAGTTTAAAAAAAAAGATTTTTGAGGTAATTATGCCACGAGCCTCTGTAGAATAAAATGACGGTTGGAGCTCAACACAGAAAACTGTGTGGAAACATTGCCTTCCTTAGCATACTGGTGAGTGTATTGGCCAGATTTTCACTTTTATAATGGCAGCTGACTTTATAAAGAGAAAAGGTTTATTTAGCTCACAGTTTCAAATGCTCAAAGTCCGTGATTGATTGGTCTCTGGGCAGATGGTTGCACATCATGGCAGGAGAGCAAGCAAGTGATTACACCTTGAATCAGGAAAAGAGAGAGATAGGGAAGGCCAAATGCAAGCATTTATGGCATCTACCAAGCAGTCCCATAAGAACTATCCCTGAGGGCACTCCCCACATGACCTAAGGGTCTCCCTTTGGACCTCACCTCCCAAGAGCTTGACCCCGGGGACCAAGCTTTCAATTACAGTAGACCTTTGAGGGTCATTCGGATCATATGTACACCACAGCAGCAGGTCTATGGGCATTTCTTAGTGTTCCGCTTGCTTGCTTGGTCTTGGGTGGAGGGGGCTTTGATCTGGTGGGAGGAGACACCTGCTTTCCTCCTCCAACAGAACTTCACACCATCACTTCTGTTTTCCAAGTGTTTGTATTTTGTTGTGTTTCCTAAATGAAGAAGGAGTTTCTAATCCTTGGCATCTTGCCTCGAAAGAGGGAAGTTACAATCAGAGTTAGATTCGTGGGGCTGGACTTGGTAAACATAGATAAAAAGAATTTTAGGACCCCTCAGAGTGATTACAGAGGGGACAAATTTGAGAAGCTCTTGAATGTAAGGGTTAACTTATTTAGTTGACGAATAATTCATTAAAGGTCCAAAATACACATTGTAGAACACAGACAATACTGTTATTGTGCTTGTAATGTAGAGAAGACCTAATGGAGAGGAGCATCCACATCAACAACAGAAAATAAGTAAAACATAAATGAAAACAATGTAAAGCCTACAACACTGGATAAATACTAAGGCTTCACTGGAGTGACTAGGACAGTTGGGATTGATGAGGAGTTGGGATTGGTGAAGAAGAAGGGAGAATTCTGACCTTAACAATCCTGAAAGAGATGAAAAGGAGGATGATCAGTGAGCTGTGTGGTCAGGAGATGGCAGTCCTAGAAAATCAGAGCAGTTAACAGACCACAAAGTAGGGCTTCAAGTCACCAGTCACTATAGCAAATTAAAACTACTGTAGGATATTTAGTGTTCACTATTACAGACAAAAATCAATGAAAGTGGCAAGGTGTGAAGGGTAAATTAATCTGGAATTAGGAGTAATAGTTTCTGTGGTGATACCAAACCAGAATTTAAAAGACATTGAAATGTGAAACATTTTCAACATAGGATTGATAGTATTTGGCAACAGGCAGGAAGTACAATGAGCTAATGAATTTTTGTTGATTTCAAAGCTTATGAAAAGATTTATGACCATTAAATATGGAAATATCAACTTGTTGGCTGAATGGAAGACCCTTTAGAAATTTAATGCTACAATTTCACTAGAAGAACACTCCTATAATATTTGCTTACAAGAAATGGACCCATGTGTCAGTATTTTTCCACCCAGATTGATTTAAATTGCTCTGGTGAGCAGTCACAGAACTGACCCCAATTAGGTGAACATCCACTCTTCTATTTCCTTTCTAATTTGCCATGACCAATTGGGCCTCTACCCGTGAACTCTTAGCATTGGACTGTGAGTGGGTGCAGCCTGCAAAATCACACCAAAAGCAACAGCACTTGGCACCTCAGTCACAGGACCACATGAAGGAGAGAGCATCCTTGATTAAGTGGATGGCCCTGAGCTGAGCACCAAGGGAAGAGAACAGTTGGCTTCTTCCCCTTGCAGTAGTGGTGCCTGCTGTTTTATAGAATCACCCTAAAAAGGAATGTCCCCAACCTACCACTGCACCATCATCATGACTCTCTACCCACACAGAAACACTGAAGCCTGAGATGTCCCTCTGTTCTTGTTTGCACAGGTGACAGGATGTTACCATGGATGAAAATGGAGTGATGGTGTGCTATTCTCCAACAACCAGGAAGGAAGAAAACACAAAAGGATTTTTTCTTATCTTTGATTATTATTTCTTTGGGGAGGACGTGGGGGAATGACATAAGATAGTAGAAAAGACAGAGAGTGACATTTAAATTTAATTAGAGGATTATAAAAGTACCTTTATTTGAAGATTCTTATTTTGTAAAATGTTGATGGTGCACACCAAAAACAACACCTGCAATCTCAGAATTTGTTACCTGGGTCTGACTTCCCCGCAGGTGATGATTTCTGGTCAAAATCTATGCAAAGACCGAGGAAGCTCACATAAACTTGGTGCCTGAGAAACTGAAGAGAGAGAGAGAGAGAAAAAAAAAAACAAAACTCAGGAGCCTTCAGAGCAGCATTGGTGAGGACCCAGAGGAGAAGTTAGCTGCATCAAAGTCGGGTCAAAATCAAGACAATAACCTCAGTTGCTCAGGCCCCCTAACTCTAGATCTGGGCCATATTTTAAAAGAATCCTAAGTTTCCTTTAAAAAACAACTATTTAATAAGCTAATTCTTTACATGTATTTCTGATCTATTTTTTTCTTGATTTAGAAAGAGATGGACATTACTGAAATTTTTTTTTTTTTTTTTT